TGTATGGTATGCTTCCCAATTACATTGATTAGAAATTGCCTTTAGAATAGATTGTCCATTAAATACTTAAATGTTACCAGCAGCCTCTATCCCAGACTAATTCCCTCTTCATATTGTAGGGATAAGAATGGCATAACCTGTTTTTCTCCTGTCTAACTTTAATGACCTACTGGCGTTTAGAATTAGAAGCGTCTATAGTGCAGTTGTTTAAAATATCCCAGCAATGCCATTCAGTGAAGCCTATTGTATAGATTCCTGTAGCTATGAACTGGATTTAGATAAGTGGCTAAGGGAGATCCAGCTTGCTCTGGAAAGGCAGAGGGCATGTGCTGACTATTCCATGGATAATTTGAAACAGAAATATATATATATATATATATTTCTCTTACCTGTTGCTTATTCTCTATAGGAAGATTATCTTTCACGTCTACAGCTGATCCAATTTCATTTATTAAAGGAGCACTAATTGGTGGTGGTGAAAGCATCTGATATACACTTTCACAACTTGTCTGCCCAGTACACTCCAGCAACTGTCTATTTATAGGAGAAGATTGTGAAGATTCTTCCAGCCTATGAGCTGGATTAAGTTTATAATGCCGTGCTAATCCTCCTTTTCCTATGTAGGATTTTTCACAGCTTTGACATTTAAACAATTTTGGCTTCAGGTCATAGTTCAAGGGACCAAATAAGGAGCACACTTCCTTCTCCTGGCCGCCGCCTCCTTCATCATCTTCTAGACTTAGCTCAGCATAGTCATCAGAATCAGACTGGTGACAGTCAGCCAAATCTTTAGTTTTAATGAATTTGTAATCCTTAGCTTTATATTTGGGAGGCCTTGAAATCCGCCCAGAACGAGTTTTCACTTTTAGAGATTTTTTAGCTCTGTATTTGTACTTCTTATCGTGGTTTGTGAGTGAATTTGCTGAACAAGATGGGGTGTGAGTAACATTTGGTGAATCTGAAGCAGCTATTGCAACAGATATGTTTTTCTGTCCATTGACAGCAAGGCCATTGAGTAGTTCATGTGTTATCTTGCCTGAGGAAACTTGTCCAAGAGGATGTAAAGGTCTCTGCAGAAGCAGTTGAAGGGTAGGTTCAGAAGATTTATATAACAAAAATTGCTGTGGTCTAGGCACTGTAGCAATATGTGGGTTAATAACACTGAGTGCTACAATCCTGGAATTTTTCTCAAGTGGCTGATTCATAGTTACATTTTTTGATCTTTGAATTGCTGCAAGAGACAGCTCTGATCTTTCTTTCTCTTTTTTCTGTTCTGGCTGTACTTGGACACAGATGGTTTCCAATGACTGTAAGAAAAAATAAAGCTTGTTTAAGCACAAAGTCATATAAGGTTTTCTATACATTCTTGAAAATGAAACTGATCTAGATCACCACACACTAGTTTTTAAAAGTCTCTTTTAATCCAAGTAAACGCAGTCAAGATTGGTTGGAAATTGTAGCACAATTGACTTTTAAAAAAACAAACAAACTCTGGCTTGCATACTCCTGAAACTACTATTATACACGTTTATCTACTTGTCATATCGTTGTAAGGATTAAAGTTAAGGTTTTATGAGGAGTGGAGTAAATTTTTAATAGTGACCTGAAGGAGATCAAGGGCAGGAAGGGGAGAAATCATGTAGTTTTAACTGCTAACTAACTGACCTGCTATTGTTAAGCAGATTGCTGGGTTAAAATCTTGCTTGGTCAGTTGATGTCCCATCCATGGGAAATTAATTGACAGGATTTGTGAAAGTTGGGAATCTCCTTTCATTTCTTTATGGTACACCCCTCAGTTCAGCAGAGGGAGCAGATGCTTGTGCATCTTTAGAATGGGCAGAAAGCAGTAGTGGAGGAGGGCAGAAGGGGGGGGCAGGGTGTCCTGGGCATGATGGGGGGGGCTGGAGGGTGTCGGAGCTAAGCAAGTTTTGGTGATGTTCCCCAAATAAGTTCACAACTTTGGGGAAGCTCCACCCCAGGCGAGGTTGTGATGGGTAAGCACTGCTTACCTTGCTCTCTGGTAAATCTACTGCTTCAAAGGCATGCCTGCCTTGTACACAGGAGATCCAGAATTTCTTTTCCTCCCAAGACACCTTACGTTTCCAGTGCTCTCTCTGTCAATCAGAGGACACTAAACCATTCGCCCCCATGTAAAGCAGCACTTTGGTGACCCTATATTAAGTTATTATTATTATAGCTATATACCAGCCTACAGCCAAAGATCCCAGAGCGGCTTACAACATAAAAACACCAAATACTTAACAATACTGTAGTAATAACAATAATAATAATAATACGTATTTGGTGTTTTTATGCTGTAAGCCGCTCTGGGATCTTCGGATTAAAAGCGGTATATATATTTATTAAATAAATAGCAGCAGTCCTCCGCCCCGCAAGCAGCGATTTAATCATTCTACGACTTTAAGCATCAGCGATCCACCTTACGAAAAATCCCCACAAACCCCACAGGCTTATTTCTTATACCTTGGGCGGCAGCAGCCTGGCGGGGAGACGGGGCACCTTCTGCAGCCGCTGCGCCGCGTCGTGCGGGATACTGGACACCGGCGGGTCCGCCGAAGCCGAGGCGGAAGTCGCCGAGCAGAAGCCCCGAGTCGGGAAGTGGGGATGAGAAGCCGCGCGGCCGTCGTCCTGGGCTACAGGAGAAGAGGCTTCCCGCCCTTGAGGCGATGCCGCAGCCCCGGCGATACGGGGGCCCGCGGGCCTCCCGGAGACGGGCCTCCCCCTTTGCTTCCCAAGGGGTAAGGTCTCGCCCGGCTGCTGTAGGCCGAGCGCCGAGCCCGGGTCCACAAGCCCGCTCGCCTCAGAGGCCGCCATCTTAGCGAGTAGCCGCTGTCAGGGGAGACGGTTGGAAGTCTCCCTAAGCCCCGCCCCTACCGCGCGCATGAGGAACAAACAGCGCCGGACCAATAGGAATCGGGCTCGGCTGTTTGCGGTTCGTGACGACAGCGAAGGGGTGGAGTGGGGAGGAGGAGCAAGAGTTACAGCGTCGTGGTGGGAGCCGAGCGGGGTCAAAATTAGCTTCAAAAGCGTTTAGTCGCTTCCCTGGAGTCCTAGTGCTTCCTCTTCGAACCCCTCGTATGCTTGTTCATCTCCTTGACGCGAACTCGGTGGGCACATTCTGGATTTCGGGCAAATGGGAATAAATAAAATCGCAACTTAATTATGCTTGGAGGGGACCGTGTTTTGTTTGCATTATCCAAAGGAGAAGCTTTAAATTTTTATTATTATTATTATTATTATTATTATTATTAAAATGGAAGGTCGAGATTCTAAACGCCGAGCAGATTAAATAGATTGACAAAACATGAGTATTCTGACTTTTGTCTCCATAGCGATCTGTTAGAAATGCCTGTACTGTACGGAAATGTGCACAGCTCCTCCGCAGGATGAAGCGGTGGGGGGGGGGTTACTTAATCGGGTGGAGCACAGGTTTCTGTTTTTGTTGCTGTACGGATACATTTATTTTTAAGTTAAGCATTTCCCCCCTAAAAATCGTAAATATAAAAGGAAAATGGTTTTACAACATCGCATAACCGTCGCCTTTTTCGCTCTTTGCAAAATGAACAAATTTGCTTTTTTCTAAGCGACATTTTACGGCAATCGAGCATTTGTTTTGTGACGGACGAACATTTTATTGAAAAGCAAAAGGCTTCCTCGTGGCCCGTACGGGGATCGAACCCGCGACCTTGGCGTTATTAGCACCACGCTCTAACCAACTGAGCTAACCGGCCACTGGGAGAACATTTTGCCTTCGCTTTCTTTCTGCTACGCGGTGACTCAACTTTGAAGATTGGCATTCATACAAAATATTAATGGCTGTGCTTCTGGAGTTGCATGTCGTTTCTTTAAATCACAAATGTGTGTTTCACTGTAAAACGAAGCAGATCTGCATGCTGTTCAAAAGTGATCCATTTGAGAGTGTGTGAAAAATTGTAGCTGCGGTTATGAATCAGGGCTGCTTCGTTTAATGTCTGTCTGATGGCTATTTATTACATACAGAGCATCGACTACACGAGTCAACACTATGCTTTGCCTTTTTTAACAGCTGGAGAAAAGGGTTATGAGCAAACGATGTAACAGCTGGTTGATTTTCAGAGCTGGATATATTCTGGATTTTCAAAATCTGTTATTCAGATCCTATGTTGTCTTATTACGCGGAGCAGTTGCAGAGAGATTCTAGCGAACTGGGACACAGTATTCGAGCTGCAGTTATTCACAGGCAAGTGAAGATGACACCCCTGCAATCCCAGTTCTGTACTGGAAGTGGCGACTTTTGCAAGAGCGACTCAACCAGCATGTTATTTCTTTCCTTTTGAATGCATGTCACGTCAACTCGCATTCCAAAATAACTACTGTACTTTGTAATTCTGACAGTGGTTGGTGGTTGGTTTTGGTAACATAGCTCCTTTTCAGAAGAACTACATTTTGCTTAACTATGCTCAAGATGTGTCTTCATGGAGCAGGAGATGCTTACTTGGAAGTAAGCCTAGCTGATTGCAATGGAACTTGCCCGCAAGTAAGTGTGTAATTGAGTAATTCTACCTGGTGCCCCTTACAGTTCAAACTTAAGCATGCGTACTGGGAAGTTCGACGGCAACTTACTCCCAGATAAGCTTATTCTCCTTCATTTGATGATTCTAAAGCAGAGGTTGCATCTGTCATGGATTGTGATTCCCGCATTGCCGAGCGCGGTTGGACTAGATGACCTTTGGGGCGCCCCTTCCGACTCAGCTAAGGTTCTAAGCGCTCCCGTGACTGCGCATGTGCAAGGATCGCCCGAGGGGCGGGGGTGGGTGGGGTTTCATAGGGCGAGGCGACTGAGGGTGCGCGCAGAAAGGAGAGCAGCCGCGGTGTGCGCATGCGCCCCTCGGAGGCCCCGCCGCCGCCATGAAGCCCGCCCTGCGGCTGCCGCAGTCAATAGGAGAGGGCGGAGGTTAGCAACTGCGCTTGCGCCGCTCCGAGGGCGGGGCTGACACGGTCGCGCCCCCGGGTTGAGGGAGCTTGACGCTCTGGGGTTGCCAGGGTGACGGGGATACAACATGGCGCGCTGACAAGTTCTCGGCGCGGGGAGCGGAGGGCGGGGGGCCCTGGCGCTTCAGAGAGGACCCTCGCCGCCCCACACCCCCCTCCCCACCGGAGGGCACGCGCGGGGAAAGCGAGCGGAGGATGAACAGTAAGGGGGCGGCCTGGCTGGGGGCGGCGGCAGCGGCGAGTCTCCCTGAGGGGAATTGGGGGGGGAGGGGGAGAGAGGAGAGGAGCCGGTGCAGCTCGGCTTTCAAGGCGGATCGCGAGGAGTCGGGGGAGGAGGGGTTAAAGGAATATATATGTGTACGTGTGTATGTGTGTACACGTGTGTAACGTATATGCTCTACAACATCGCGTCGGAAGGATGCGACCGGTGGCTGCTGAGGCCGGCGTATATCTTCTGGCAGCCGGCTAGTTAAACAGAGATGCTAAATTCTTATAGCGAGAGGTGTCTGATTCGATATCCCGCTTGGTGGGGGATGGGGAGGGGAGGGGATGAGAGCTGTGTGCAAAGAAAAAGGGGGGTGGGGAGGGGAAGCCAGTCGGGAAGGGGAAGAGGTGTTTGTAACAGTGTGGTATAGTGGTTTCTGCATGTGCTGTAGAGGGAAGCGAGGGGCAGATGGGGCTCACCAACCTGCGAAGGTAGCCCGTTTGGAGAAGGAGAACTCCAGTCCTAAACCTCCGCCTTGCATGATTTATTTAGGAGAAGACAAGGCTTAGGAGTCGCTAAGATGGTTGGATGGTGCCTTGTATACTTCCATCCGGCAACTGCTGCAGCCAAGTTGGTGCCCAACGTATTGCTCTGCTTTCCTTTGGATCATAGCGAGGCCAAGTGGGGCGGGGGGGGGGTCATCGACTAGGCAGCCCTGGAACTCCACAAACACTGCCCAGGCTTGTACCCCAAGGAGGTCACTTTGGTGCTGTTAATGCAGTGTTTTGACTTCGCCCTCAGAGGCGCACTCAATTGTCTCTAGAGGCAGTAGAGTGCCAACAACAATAGCGGTTAGAGAAGAGTTTCCCAAATTTTTCATGTTGGTGACACACTTTTTAGACATGCATCATTTCGTGACGCAGTAATTCAGTTTTACTTAAGGTTACCAGATTTTTTTCAATGAATCCAGGGACACTTTTCAACCTCAATGGATTTTGTATGGGGACTGGTTTGTAAATCCGGGACTGTCCCCGGGAAACGGGGACGTCTGGTAACCTTTTACTAGCAAACCGGAGGTTAAACTAACCCCTTTCTAGCTGCAGGAGGAATGTGGGAAAACCTGGGAAAACAGTTTGGAAAACCTGGGAGATATAAGAATTCAAATTCCCTCTGGGCCAGCCATGCAGCTCACTGAGTGACCTTCCGCTAGGTCAGACTTCCTCAACTTCAGCCCTCCAGTTGCTTTTGGCCTACAACTCCCATGATTGTAGTCTCAAAACATCTGGAGTGCTGAGGTTGAGGAAGCCTGGGCTAGATACTGCCTCTCAAAGGACACCATTTTTCAGGCTTTGAACAGAGATTGTAGGCGGTGTTTCTTCTGCTTTGCTGTATGTATCCTATTCTAATTTCATGTTCAATAATTAGGACAGGCTTCCCAAAACTCTGCCCTCCAGCTGTTTTGGGACTACAACTCCCATCATCCCTGACCACTGGTCCTGTTAGCCAGGGATGATGGGAGTTGTAGTCCCAAAACAGCTGGAGGGCAGAGTCTGGGGATGCCTGAATTAGGATGTGTGCTTCAATTCAGGTGTACATGAACGCCTATCATATTTTCAGCCTGCTTTATACAGCTGGAGAATTATATGACATGATCTACAAAAGCTCATGCCATGATAAATGTTTCAGATTGCAGTCTAGCCTTAAAACTTTTCCTAGCCCCTGATCTGATAATGCTTACTCAAAACACAATTTAATGGGTTTTCCTTTCATGTATGTATCAAGCACAAGCCTTCCTTCAGGAGTGGGAAACTTTTGACCCTCCAGATGGTGTTAAACTCCAACTCCAGTTATCCCCAGCCAACATAGCCAATTGTGGGGAACTTTCGTCCCTCCAAAGGTTGCTGAACCACAACTCCCAAGATCCCTGGACATCACCCATGCTTGGTAGGGCTGATGCAAGTTGTTGTTAAGCAATATCTGGTGGGTCAAAGGTTCCCCACACCTGTTGCAGACCATCATTATTTGGAGGGCTACAGTTTCCCCACCCTGCCTTTGTTACTATATAGAGTTGTCAAGTAAACATACCTAAGGTGGTAACAGCAATGGTCTGATTTATTATCAAGCAGTGATATATATTGTAAAAAGATATCTTTAATAGGGGGGTGGGGTACACAAGCAATTCTTACCATGACTGTGGTATGTACTTCACTCTTTGTAGTCTGTGTTCTACTGTTTGAACTGGGGATAGGCCCAGATTCCAGGTGCTTTGCCATTATTAGATAAGTGGCCCTGATAGTCACACTTCATTTAAAAGAAGGGTAGGTGAGGATAGATAAGCTGTGTCCTTCCAGATGTCAATGCATTCCAGCTCCCATCAGTTCCAACTAGCATGGCGAGTAGTCAAGGATGATGAGTTTTTTTACTCCAAGAATATGTGGAAGACCCCATACCTGTTTAGATGCTAGCGCACAATTCATTGTCTACATGTTCAGACTCTATAATCTTAAATGAATCTAAAGTTTTAAAGGTGGGGTTATTTGCTTTAACCAACTGTTTTAAACACGTTTCCAAAGCTATCAATGGTGTACAGTTATGAGCCAATGCACTCCTTGAGTTGCAGACACCTGCATCTGCTTTTCCAGCTGCAGAGCAATTTGAGCCTCCCGCATCCCTCCCTGAAAGAGCTACTTTTTCTTTACAGCTAGCTGCAGTCTGAAGAAGTTAATTGTCATGAGAAGTTAGCCAGTGGAGGCTTTTAGAAGCAGTTGCTGTAGAGGTGATATGTATGGGAGATGACTAAACCAAATTAGAGAGGACAGAGGTATCTACAGAAGACAATTGGAAAGAAAGTTAGAATTGACTCAGTCTGCAGATGCTTAACACCAAAGAAGGTTAAAGAATGGTTAAGAGAGTGATCAATATGATAGCAAGAGGGATGCTGTCTATATGGAGGCCAACAGCCATACCATGGGCAGCTATCCCTGTGTGAGTGGTAATGTCACACATGAGTAAAATGCTCTGAATTACATAGCAGAGCATTAGGAGATTATAGATGTAGCTACAGCTGTGATCCCAGCTTACATTTGCTACATTTCACTAAAGGATTCCAACAATATACCTCTGGGTATAGGACAGTATAGAAATTTAATAAATAATAATAAAAATGATTCTTTGATTCTAAGAATCAAAACAGTCCAACTTAAAGGCTAGATAGGCATGAATTTAAACGCCATAGTGGTCAAGCTTTAAAAATTTCTGATACTCTTACACAGCAAACTCAAATCTCTGAAAACTAAATTGACACTAATTTGATTAACATTTTATCTCATAAATGACCATGGGAGTAAAATGACTATTTCACACTTTGCTGAAGAAGCATCTGATAGGCAGTTAAGCAAAGAAAACACAGCTCACACACAGCTGTCCATAAATAAGAGCTGTATTTCCATAATCCTTATACAGCGTAGAGGGATGCAAGCCTTAGTTTTTGATAGATACAGTGATGATAGGAGAGTTGGTTGAATAAGTAAGTAAGCTATAACTGTAAACATGTCCAATGAAGCAGTATTTAAAGCAATCTTGAGGATATTAAGCTTGCTTTCGATACTAAAACATAGTTTTCTTTTAAAATTTTGACCTTTTTAGAATATAAAACGATTGGTAAGATTGGCGAGGGAACATTTTCTGATGTTCTGAAGGTACAAAATTTCAAAGATGGACAATATTATGCATGTAAACAAATGAAACAGCATTTTGAAAGGTAGGTGCAGCTGCTTTTTTAATTTTCTTTTTACTTAAATGTTGAAATACTGAAATTTGGATGATCAAAGTTTGATTCTGAATATTCATAAATATTATACAGAAAAAGAGTGCCTTCAAAGAGGACAACTAACCTTACAACCACTACATTTCTCATTAATGGACTCGGCTGACATATCTAAATTTGTCTCTCTTTTGTCCTGAGCGTTAAACATAGTATGCAGCCCTTCTCCGGATCCCACAACCATCAAAGGTGTAGGAGCTGGTGACCAGAGACAGAGGCTTCTCTGTGATCTCTTACAGAAGTACTTTACATGCTGTCTTATAAGCCGCTTTCATAACCTGGGGGAATGCCATGAGATGCCTCTGCTATTAATGTAATACATAAATAAAATAAATAAATAACACTCTTCTGCTACCGGAAGAGAAAACCATGAAATGCTCTAATTCACTCATCCAAGCATGTGTCTCACACATCTCTTGAGATTATGTGTGGCCCAATTCACAGAGTGAACAGAGCAACAATAAAGAGGAGGGGGGATGAAGTGTTTACTCTTCTGTAATTTTAACAAACAAAAGCGACCTTAACATGGTAGCCTAATCTTTTCCCTTTTTTATATACTGAAGTATTGACCACGTGAACAGTATGAGAGAGATACAAGCACTAAGGCGACTGAATCCACATCCAAATATCCTCACGTTGCATGAAGTGATATTGTAAGTGCTGCATGCTTTCTTTCACCTTCCCTTTCTATACCGTAAGTATTCTTCCCTAAGATGATGCGGAGGTGGTGAATCACAATTTCATTTGCCAGACCAGTCTTAATCTGGTTACAGTTGCTTGAGGCAACAGCTCCTCTATTTTCCTGTGGCATAATGAATGAGATTCTGCCTTTTCCTACACCCCTGCTCCCAGGAGGGCAGCAAATACCCTCGCGTTGGGAAGTGAGCCTACTGGGGCTGCCAATCACTTCCACTTGAATGGCTGAGTAATATATCTAAGTAAGGCCATTGAGCCACTGGTAGCATGAACACCGAGACTCTACATGTACAAGTTTTAAGGAACAACTTGCTTTTATTCCATCTTTATCTGTGTTCTCTGGTAGTGTAGATGATGGCAGCACCAACAGTACAAGAAAAGTACAATGAAGGACTCAAGTAATGACACTATTAAGGAGAATTACATGTACAGGCAACTCCCAATTTACATGCATTGAAGGCACGTGTGACCATGCGCACACGCATTACTATGAACTTGGAAGTGGCATGAAAAGGGGCAAAAACAGCCCTAAAAGAGAGCAAAAAACAGCAGAAATTGCATGAAAACAGTGTCTAGCAATCCCACAAGCCTTTGCGAGTGCAATCCCAGGAGCCTTTGCCCCAAACTTTGAGGCCTGTCGAGAGTTGGAGCTTGAGCAAGGAGGTTAGGAGGGTACTTGCAGGCTTTTTCAATGGTGTTCCCGATATACGTGATTTCACTTAAACACACGGTGCCTCAGAATGTAACCCCTGTGTAAATGGGGAGTTGCCCGTATTGTAAGGTGGGCTATCTTATGCCACCTGCCCAATAAAAGACTACAGGTGGTCAGTGGATGATAACAAAACGTTTTTCATACTGTTGTATTCTATTGAATAAAGTGACTTTTGTCTCCACATAAGTTCAGAACTTTTGCTTTTGAGTTCTAGCCTTTTTACATATGAGAACACCTCCTATCCACCAAAGGATTTCATAAGTAGTTTTATCCTTTCTTCCATGTAGTTAAATAAGATCACTCTTTTCCCCCCTTCAGTGACAAGAAAGCCGGTGCTGTGGCATTGATATGTGAACTCATGGACATGAACATTTATGAACTGATCAAAGGTATGCAGATCATGCCAATGAGAAAGTCATTTGCAGAGATTATCTTTATTTATTTATGCAGAAACCCAACTATTTGTACAGTATGACTGACCAAAAGAATAAAATAGGGCAGGTGGAGAACCTGTGACACACTAAATGTTGTTGAACTCCAACTCCCATCAATCTCAGCCAGCATAGCCAATTGTCAGGGTGTTTTTCTCTAGCAACATCTGGAGGACCAGTTGTCAGGGAGTTGTTGTCCAACAACATCTGGAGGACCACAAGATTTCTCTTGTTGGCCAGTCCTGTTGCCCAAGCTGAAGTCATTCTGTTTGTGCAATTCGGCTGTTTACCGCTCATAGTCTTCTTCCCAGTAGGTGAAGGCAGAGAGAGATTTTAAAATGTGGAGATGACATTTCCATATAATTACAGATACCGAAGGGAAACACCTGCCTGACGGTGTTGGAAAGGAGGAAACAGGTGCAGGTGGGAAGACTGTGTAGAAAGGGAACAGCAGCTAATAATTGTGTCATCCCTGCTCTGTAATTAGTCCTGTTATAACAGCTCACACATCACAAATCTATATATTTACAATTCAAAACAACTGATTGGCTGAGATTGGAAAGCCACGATCACATTTCAGTGCTGTTGAGAGATTAATTCCCCTATCTTTTCTTGCCATTCCTTTGTCATTCTTGGCCATGTGCATGTGTGTGAGAACAGGCATTTGCACTCACCTGCTTTCTTGCACACCTCAAAAGTTATTACTGAGGGCTGGGGGCAGGGGTGAATGAAGGCTAACCGACACCCGGGGCAGGGGAAACCACCGGGTGCACACGCGTTGCGCCGCCACGTATGATACATGTGCGGTGTCGCGACATAGGGCATATGTGCGACGTCGCTACGTACAGCACATGCGTGCGACACTGTGCATGCGTTGTACATAGTGGTTTGCCGGTGGCGCCTCCTGAATGCTGTACAGCCGGCGGTGGGATCCTCTGCTTGCAGCTGCAGCCGTGAACAGAGGATCCTCCACATACGGCTGCTGCAGCGCGATGGCTGCTTGTGCCACCGTGCCTGGGGGCAGCGGGGTGAGCACCCCGCGGGGTGCCTTCTTGTCACCCCCCACACATGGCACCTGGTGCGAACGGCCCCCCCTGCCCCCTTGCAATGCCGCTGGCTGAGTGTTCGTGCAGAGCAAGGGTAGATAGCAGTTACTGACTTTCCTTTCCAGCAGCAATCCTTTTCACCACAAGTGGAATCACTTTCAAGTCTGAGGACTGTTTGGATCTTGGCCTGTGGTTGTTGCCCCCCGGCAATAAAATATAGCTGAGTATTGGAGGGAATGGCATAGTGTATGTTTCAAATGCTGGTTGTATGTTGATGAAAAATGAAAGGCTGGACAAGTCTGGTACCATGAGCCACAAGTAATTTTAATGCAATGAATCTTAAAAGTTCCAGCTCCACCTTCTCTAGGCTAACTCTATGTTTATCTAAAGAGTCTTAGGAACTCAGAACTTACAGAATTCAAGACAAGTATTCACGGTTGTCTTAGCTAGTATTGAATGTGGCCGCACATACAAATGCAAAAAATTGCAGAATGATGACAGAATAAAAAGCTCTCTAAACTAAAAAGCACGCTTCTCTATGCAAGCCACTTTCTAAGGGTGATAGTCAAGTTTCTTCAGTTCAGTGCCTTTATAATAATTTTGTCCTTGAGTTGCTACAGGGAAAGGCTTTCATTGATTGTATTGATTTTTATATTTATAAGGACTCATTGGGTGGCAGCCAATGTCCTCCTGCTTGTGGAAGGGCTTTTGATTTAGCAGAGGCCCCTCCCAACAGAACGCGGGAGATAACTTTCACCAGTTTCCCCTCCCTCCTCCAACCTTAATTTTTTTCTCCAGAAGAGAGAATCTGCAAAAATAGACTTTCCCCCTTGCCTCTGTTTAATCAACCCATTGGTCCTTCAGGGCATTTGGTATATGTATCATACATAAAGAAAATGTGGCTTGCTTTCCTTAGTTGCAGTTCCATTTCCTTCAGCGATGAATCTTCTGAGGGACAGTTCACTCATACATGTTCAGCAGCTAGTGACTCCAACACCTAGTGGTGACTCACTTGTCTGAGTGGGCCTTCATAGATGGATGCTCTCATTGCTCCTTAGGTCACCTCAGATGCAATGCTTTCCAGGAGAGTCAGCTCACACTAGTACAAGCTGATGTGAATCCATATTCTGTTTGTAGATGCAGAGTAAAATAATGTATGTATGAGTTGGCACTTAGCATGGCAAGGTGGTGGGTGAGGTCTTTTCCATTTGATAATCCTTTCAAAAGGAGTGACATAGATACTGGGGGTTCAATCTTAAATCATTATTTGATCTTCAATGTGAACAAACTGCAGAATATGAGGCTCCACAGTTGCTGGGGTTTTAGTATCATTTCTTCGGGTGAGATTGTAAGGACTGGAATAATCTACTGCATTCCCTCATTAAATTAGCTATGGAAAAATAATAAGTTGATAGTACAATACACAGAAGCAACAACTAGAATGGAAATAGTTTCCTAATGGCGATAGTTGCATAGCAATAACTGAGAGTTAGAAAGCAGATTGATTCTGTCATCTAGAATGCATTAAAATAAGCAATTAAGGCTTATGAAAATTCGTCTGAGTTTCCATGATGAATATTCTGAAAATGTCTGTGAAAAGAGATGCAATGTTATGACAGGAGATCTATGGGACAATATATATAAAATCCAGATGTCTGGCTGTTCAGCTTCTTCATGAACTTATGACTCATTTGATGGCTAAGTATAAAGGTATGTATTTTGTATTTAAATAGTTGAGGGTGAAGTGTCTTAGGAGTCAGGTTACTACATTGTAGGTTGAATCCAGGCTAAATTAGTCATACTTTTAATCCCACTGATTACAGTGAGACTAAAGCATGACTATCTTAATCTGGATCCAAGTATGACCAATGTTACCTCCCCCCCCCCAAATCCCAAATTGAATAAAGTGGTACCTCTGGTTATGTACTTAATTCGTTCCGGAGGTCCGTTCTTAACCTGAAACTGTTCTTAACCTGAAGCACCACTTTAGCTAATGGGGCCTCCCACTGCCGCTGCGCGATTTCTTTTCTCATCCTGAAGCAAAGTTCTTAACCCGAGGTACTATTTCTGGGTTAGCGGAGTCTGTAACCTGAAGCATCTGTAACCTGAAGCGTCTGTAACCTGAGCTAGCACTGTACATTGGTCAGTCAGGAGCATTCATTCACCCTTATCATCCCAAACAGCTGTAGCTTATTCAAGCAATAACTTGAGAAGTAATGTTCATGCTGAAAATGCAGTGAGTAAATTAGTCATGTTTGCTTCAAGTATGCCAATGCTACCTGAAATGAAGCAATGTAGCAGTTTGAGCAGGAAGATAAAAAAATACGCATGCTTGTGATACTTTGGGGCCTTGACAAAGCTTTTCCTTCTTATGCATTACATCCTACTGCCAGCATCCAAACACCCTTGGTGTCCTGTTATATCTATCCTCTGTAATACTGAAAGCAGTCTTTGGAGGAGCCAGTCTGTGTGCCATATCAGGGCAGGTGTGGTTATGTGATGAGGCTACTACTGCCTATTGTGTAGGAAAGGAACCTGTGGCCTTCTAGCTGTTCAGCTCCCATCATCCATGACCACTGGCCATGCTGGCTAGGATCAATGGGATCTGGGAAGCCAACAACTTCTGAAGGGCCACAGTTTCACCATCTTGGAGTAGGGCATTCTGCTCCGCATTTCTGCTTTGGTTAGATTGATATATCTCCTGTCAGGTTTACTATGCACCAACCGTATCAAGTGGTTGAGCTCACCATATAAGGGGGTATCCGATAGTAGGTTCCCTCTAGGCATGGAAGTTTGCTCTTCCATTCATGGAGGGCAAGTAAACACCTAAAGCATGTACTTTACACTGTTCAGAATGGGCCTGGGTATTCCCAACAATGGCTGCCCTTTCAGCAGAGATTGGAAAGCCAGTTTAGGAATCAACACTTCCTCCACACCCACCTTTCTGAGGAGCAAACCTTCATATCATGTTGACCACTATTAAGAGAAGAGTCAGCGTTGACTCTGTCTGCAGTTATCCAGAACTCTGGCATGTGTTAACTGTGGTTAGGTGAGTGCCTGTGTTTCTTTTAACAGTGGTTAAGGCTGAGCAGGAAAATTTGCTCTAGGGAGGGGGATAGATGACTGCTGAACTCTTAATGGTAGCCTCCTTAAAGGAATGAATGCATTTTAATAAAAATTATATGCTACTTGATTGTAAACAAAAACCCTCAAAGTGGTTTACAAAGAGAATACAGTTAAAAACAACTATTTAAAACATTTTTTAAAAATCAGCAGGATATTAGAAATAGATTAAACCAGCCCAGTGTGTTCTTCCTCACCACTATGGAAAATATAAAAAGAAAACAAACACTCTACTATGGTTCACAGGCAAACCATCTCACAACTGTATTTAAAATTGTATAAAACTGTATCATGTTCATTTGACTGTTTCCTCTAGGGAGGAAAAAACCATTGCCTGAAGGGAAAATAATGAATTATATGTACCAGTTATGCAAGTCTCTTGATCATATGCACAGGTAAGGCAGCCATTTGTATATTTTTGCAAATGTCGTATTTGGCTATATTATTGAGCTGGGATCTGGAGAGTCCAGTGAATACCCCAAGGTACTGCTGTGAGGGTCAAAGTACATAGGATATTAGTCGTGGGGCTGCTTTTATTTTGGAGAAAAAGCAGCCTTGGGGCCCCTATCCAGAATGTGCATTTATTCTGACTTCACACTGATGAAAATTGCTCATCTGCTTGCCTCAAAAAGTAGACTATTGATGGCAATATACAGCATTTTCTGGGGCTAATAACAGCTATAAGAGAATGATTTTCAGTAGGGGGGAAATGGTATAGGGCTCCAATGTGGATTGGGAGCCCATTCTAGTTTTCTCCAAAATAAAAGGAATCAAGTTAATCCCACTAGATTGATATAATATTAATATATCTATCTATCTATCTATCTATCTATCTATCTATCTATCTGTCTGTCCTTCCTTCCATAGGAGCCCAGGTAGCTTACAATCTTCATAAAATCACATTAAAACCTTAAATCAGTTTAAAAACACGATGCACAGAAAAAACCAGTAAGCCACTAGCAGCAGGCTCTGCATGTAACATCCATGCAGTTTGGCCTTGATGTATCTATTCCAGCTGCAGCCTCTCACGCTGCAAATTCTTCTCTGGAGCATCCCCCAATCTCCAGGCCAGGGATGGTTTTCAGGAGTGTTCATAAGGTGGACTGGGAATGGGACAGTGTGGAGCGGGGAAACCCCAATGCACAGGGGACTTTCTGTACGCCATTCTTGGTATATAAATACTTACTTGCCCTGAATAATTCTCTTGCAGGAATGGGTTATTTCACAGAGATGTAAAACCAGAAAACATATTAATAAAGGTAAGCAGTCTTTAGTGCAGTGTTTCTCAAAATGTGTCCCACCCCCTCCAGGTACGTGAAAGAGTTTCAAAGAGTACAAGGCAGAATTTATTATTATTCTATCATAAATAAAATAGTATGATTAAAAATACCCCCAATTTATTTTTGCTTGAGAAGGGGCACACCAGTAAGACTAAACTCAAAAGAGGTTTGTTGTAGGTTTGGGAAACACAGCCATAGCACAAGCGATAAATATGTTGAAACTCTGTATTCTGTATTATGCTAAGAGTGCAATTTGGAAGTGCATTTGTACCTAAGAGAAAAGTGCATTGTTAGTTTGGGATGTGGAACTACAGGTGCCCAGTTTAGATAAGTGGCAGTATTGTCCCTAGCCTTTCCCAAACACTACTGATGAAGTGTAGTAAGTAATCTTCTATAACCTGGTAAGTCTTCTTGTGACCAAAGTTTCAAGTTTTTTCCCCCCGGTTAAGTACACCCCGTTACGGGGAGGCGGGTGGCGCTGTGGGTTAAACCACAGAGCCTTGCCGATCAGAAGGTCGGTGGTTTGAATCCCTGCGACGGGGTGAGCTCCCGTTGCTCGGTCCCAGCTCCTGCCAACCTAGCAGTTTGAAAGCACATCAGTGCAAGTAGATAAATAGGTACTGCTCCGGCGGGAAGGTAAACGGCGTTTCCGTGCACTGCTCTTGTTCGCCAGAAGCGACTTAGTCATTCTGGCCACATGACCTGGAACCTGTACGCAGGCTCCCTCGGCCAATAAAGCGAGATGAGCGCCGCAACCCCAGAGTCAGCCGCGACTGGACCTAATGGTCAGGGGTCCCTTTACCTTTACACCCCGTTACCATGTTAAGTGCTCCTGGAGTTACATTTTCTCGCCATTTCCAAAGACTACAAGTACTCTGCCCAAAATAGCCATGGACCAGAGTTCATTGCAATGTAATAGCCGGATTTAATTCTCAAATTAAGCACCTTTACACATGATTGATTTTATATGAATGCCTTCTGATTTGAGATGCCACAACTATCTTAACTGCAGCAAGATCTTCTGAAGCTTGGGGATTTTGGTTCCTGCAGAAGTATACACTCCAAGCAGCCTTATACAGAGTACATCTCTACGCGCTGGTACAGGGCACCTGAATGTCTTCTCACAGATGGGTACTACAGTTATAAAATGGACATGTGGAGTGCTGGCTGTGTGTTCTATGAAATTGCAAGGTACGTTATCTTAAAGGAATTGGTGGTTTGACTTGAGAGCAGGGCCGGCCCAGCCATGAGGTGGGCTGAGGCAGCCGCCTTAGGCAGTGGAACACCATGAGGTGGCACCCCTGCCTGCCCCGTCATTAGTAGAGAAGCAATGGTGGCGGCTTCCTGCCACCGCTTCGTGACCCAGGTAACAGAGGCACTGGCAGTGGGGCAGTACCTTCCCATTTTGCCTCGGGCGGCAAAACGGGACACACTGCCCTTGACTTAGAGTGAAATTCACATTAAGGGTAGGATTCTGTAGATGGCATGAAGTGTTCACAATTGTGTCATGGAAACAATTTCAGATACTGTGAAAAGCTGGACAACAACAGATTAAGCTCAGTGGGAAAGCACATGCTTTTGCGTGGAGAACGTTTTAGATTTAGTCTTTGGCCTTGCTAGTAAATATATACTTGAGTCTTCACTGGGGGGGGGGTTGGCTTTGAGGGGGATGGCAGAACCCCCAGAACAGCACATGGGGAGGGAGAGAGGATTGTTCTGTCTGGCAAGCTGCATTGCTTGCGCAGATGGAATGTTTGCAGTAGCACAATGCTGAATTGCACCTGTAATCTCCTCAATAGTTGGTGCAGGGGTCAAATACTACCAACACCTGTGCCACAATTTAAGACTGGACAGTTTTCCTCACAAGGAGAAAACCCTCAACCCTGGCAGTTTAATTTCCCACACTGCCCAACCAAATCCTCTTTTTCTGTTTCTAGTTTCCACCCACTCTTTCCTGGATCTAATGAACTGGACCAAATCTCAAAAATCCATGATATTGTAGGTACTCCTCCCAAGAAGATTCTTAATAAGTTCAAGCAGTAAGTACATTTTGAATTCTGGGATTTAATAGTGCATTCTCTCTGTGATCGAACCTGTACAAATAAATGTCTTAATTTAGAGGAGAATGCTCACACATCATTATTATTATTATTATTATGTCAAGGAAGCTGTTTGCTAGTCCATAGCTAAAACAGTGTAGACTAACAATTCAGTGTAACCTGAGGCTACTTCATCAGTTGTGAGCTGAGGTCACACTCCAAATAACGGCATCTTGTGAATTGATTAGATCGCTCGCTGTCTACTTTTCCATTCAAAAACAAGTTAGATCTCTGTTTCAGAGTGTTAAGTGGTACAGAAATACCAGCTTCAGGCTCCAAGCACAGAGCAGGTCCAGCAGAAGGACATGCATGTATCCCTTTGCCTCCCCAGAGATCCCACCCCTATGCCACAAGTCACACATGCTTCTACTCCAGCATTGTGGTATTTTAAACTGTGATCAATGAATACCTCCTCAAGCATGGGAAGACCCTGATAGCTGCTGTTTACTTAATGGCCAAGATGGTGAGTCGGGAAGTCACCTCTGCCATGACCTTGCCAGGTGCCCTGAGGCAAGCTACTGTCTTCTCAACCTCATTCCTCTATAACATGGGAATAACGTGGATCATTAATGTATGAGAAGTCCTTTGAACACTCAACAATGCTACGTATATGTTAAGTAGGCTATGGGTTGCAAAGCACCGCTGAAGACGGCCCGGTAGCCAGATCTCTGACAAAGTGTTATATGCTGACAAAGTCTCACTATTGTCAGTAATTGTGCTGCAGCAACTCTGCACAAACTTTAGCTTCTAGAACATGTGCGAGGGAAGCTCCACCTAGAGCGCACTGCAGCAATCCAGTCTTCAGTTTGTGAACTGCCGTGGCCAGGTTTTTCTGGTCCAAGAATGGCTGTAGCAGTCAAAGCAATTGCCGTTGGTAAAAGGCACTTCTAAGCTGCTGAGGCTTCCAGTGACAGAGCTGGAGCCAAAAGCACAAACAAACTGTGAACCTGCTGCTTCTGGGTAGGCAAATCGAAGGTCAGACAAAGAGCAAAATGTGTATTTAGCCTTCAAGATTTTCTACGTCAGCTTTATCTCTTTGGCATCCCTGCCCCATCCTCCCCAGTAAGGCTGACATTAATAGCCTCCTGACAGGAATGTGTTTCCTTTCACTGGATTAATGCAGGTCACGAGTGATGAGCTTTGATTTTCCCATCAGAAAAGGGAAAGGAATCTCTCCATTTATGCCTAGCTTGTCAAACAAGAGCCTAACTCTTATGTATGCAATGATACAATATGATCCTGACGAGAGGATCTGTGCCCATGAAGCCCTACAGCACCCTTACTTCAGAGAATTAAGGTAAGTAAACTTTCAGTGTCTCTTGAATTGAGCAATAAATGTGGAGTTGCTGGTGTCTCCAGCTTCTTAAATCCAGACTTAAAATCAGTGAGTGAGTTCCACCATTGCAACAGTGCATGAACAGGACTTCCCTTCCTCTCACAACCGCATTAATCCTCCCAAACTGCTCCAGAGAGGCCCTTGGCTAGCTACAGCAGACCACAGGGGCAGGTGGGGGGGGGCTGCGAGGAAGGGAAAGTCCCACTGGTGCAAACACAACTCAACACTGGATATCACCCAGAGGACTTAAATTACATCTATAGCATCCAAGCTTAAATCTTGACCTACTTCACTAGGTTTGGGTACTTAACAGCTGCGTTTTAAATTACTGTTTAGTACGGCTGAAAAACGGGAGTTGCTATGTTGGCTCGACTCTCTAGTTGACACAAACGAATTTTGAGTTTCATAGGTGGGATTTTGTCTGGCTCTGTGCTGAACAGGTTGGCAGAGAAACAAGCTTTGACCATACGCAGAAGAATGAGATTAGCAGAAAACCCATTAGAAAGGGAGACTCTCAGCTTGCGTCGTATTTCAAAGGAGGATCAAAGGCAGGTAATCTTTAAATCAATGAATAAGTAATAAACCTAATTAAGTAATGTCATTTTAAAATTGCCAACAGAACAGCCCTGTGTCAAATGTGATGATATGATGAATAGTGTCCAATAGGCAAAACGTATTTTAGGATTTTTGTCTCAAAAGGATCCAAGGCTGTATGGATTTCTGATCTAAACAAACAATGTCCATCTAAGCAAGACAGATAGCTTTAGAGAGGGCTTTGCATACATACTGCATTGCAAATAAGCTCCCAAAAGCTACTAGCCTGCAAAAATATTTACTAGCTTGTTGGTGGCTGCGGGAAGAGGGCTCTATCCCTCTTGCTGTAACCTGCTCCATTTATATGGAATTGCAGGGAGGCTTCCTGGCAGCCTGTTTAGTTTCTAGCTTGGGAGTGGATGGGGGAAATGTTCTGTCCCTTCTCTACAAGCCTGTTCATCTGCCTGCATGGAATTTCTTGTTGCCAGTCACTACCAGGCTAATGTCAGGGTGCTGAATATTATGATTTACAGCTTGGAGGAGCATACAGTATAGCATTTGGCGCTCAGAAAACTTTTAGTGACCTTATGAAGATGCACATGTAATTATGCTGGAACAGGTTATTTACACATCTTTTCTCGAGATGTTCTGTGAGCATGACTGCTGTTGCATCCAGGCTTATTAAATCATCCCTGCAAATTGCACATTAATTATAGAACTATGAAATCGGAAGAATCTGGCTGAACCAGATGCAAGTTGTCACTTGAGCTATCAGTATCCCATTTGCCAGCACCCAAACAAGATTCTGTGCTGACCAAACTGAAATCCAAGCAGGGAAAAGAGGGTCACTTATTCTAATAAAGCTTTTCCAGGATCTATTGGATCACTTGTGCAAGGGGAGGGGGCAGGATGAAATGTGCCCGATCTTACCTTTTGAAACCACTACGCTTAGCTTCCCTCCCGCCATGGAATTCTAAAGGCACCAGGTTTAAGTTGACAACACCTTCCCTATCAAATTCTATGTCAGATCTAACCAATGTTTTGTCTTATTTAAAAGGTATTCCAATAGCTGTTTTAGGGAGCAGTTTTAGAAATTAGAAATTAATCTCATGCTACTAACAGAGCAAGTTTAATCAAGCCTTAGCTTGTGGCACAGTTGAAATTCTTGGTTCTCTTAAAATTAGAGCAGCAAAAAATCTATTTTCCTGGTAAGTATCCACCTTCCAATATGCTCCAGCTTTTCTCCAGTAGTGTTTGGATACCAGTGTTGGTGTAGTTACCATTATCAACATTTGCTCATACACTAATCCTAATACCTTTAAAGTACATCCATCTATGTGTTTCTTTCTAAAGGTGTGATTACAGAACACAAGCAGCGCTACTCGGGAAGAACCATTTTGGTTGTAAGTTTGTATACATGCTTAGACCATCACAGCAGCAATGTCAACCAGACCAACACAGGTCGTCAAACACTTAACATTTAGCCTACACGAAACATACTGATTTCAAAAAAAATTGAACTTTTATTTTTATTTTAAAAGAACTTTCTTAGGAGAGCCCAGGAGAATCCACTGGGACGTCGTGGATTTCCCTATACAGTGGAGTTGCCCAAACTGGCTGTTCCTGAAGTAACCAACTTGACTTCTTACCCTAATCCTCCATTTCAGTCAGTTTTTCCTCTCCCAGCAACCAACGGGCAAGTCCAAGTGTTGCAGCCCATAACATATTTTGGGACACACTGCAAGGTAATTCTGCCTTGCTTATCAGATTGTACAATTTTAGACAAGTAATTAACAGCCCATTTTAACTTGTGTTGTCTCACCAACAGTCTGAAAGACAGAAGGAATTTAAATCTCCTGTGAAACACTACCACTTGCCTGCTCTGGGAAGAAGAGGTGGTTACTGATGGACTAAGAATCCCTTGTGCTCGCCAATACTTTTGAAAGGTACACTAACAGCAATAGTGCCTTATCTTCTCAAATGCTGCAGCAAGATGCTACAATATTATTATTTTTGTGCTTAACTTTTAAAAAAAAGGAAAAGGAGCCTTTCTACGTGAGCACCGTTTTCATAACTCAGTCTGCACTTCATTTTTTTTAAAGCTCCCGATGTACAATTTTATTTCCTCTTAAGTGGGTCATACATTTGTTCCAATTGTGCTGCTCTGGTAGGAATGGAATTGTTACTACTTTTATATTAAATACGATACAGTACTTCTTATTTAAGATGTGTTGAAACTGAATTTGTGTATTTTTGTAAATGTGACTGTGGAGATATAGATTGAAGCAGCGGGGAAGGTGTTTGGTAGTTTCAAAACCCGAGTCTACTTAGCGTCTTCTGGAGTATGTTACATCTGATTTGAGTGCAATCTTGTGTAAAGATTTGTTTTCCAAATTATGTAAATGGGCAGATTTTCTCTGCATGCGTCGTTCGTAAGATCAAGTTAGTCTTGCTCTTGCTCTCCCAGCATATTCCTGTAGCACGGAAGCTTAAACAGCATGGGCATGCTTTATCAGTTAAAATACGATTTGTCACATGCTCAATACAATTTCACTTCAAAGAACACATTGTGGATTTGTGCTAGAAGAGCCAATAATATCTGAAAGTATATTTTGTGGGGGAGGGGCCTTGTATCTGCCAGGGACAAGAAAATTCTTAAGTCGCTTTCAGAATGACCGTTTAAATGAAAAATAAAAATGCCGTTTTATTAAAATACAGGGCTTTGAAATGGTACTCTCAAGGTTTGTTATATTCTACCCTTTTGAAATGAAATCCACTTCTATAACAACCTCTCTCTAACAAGGAAAGTAGTTTGTGTATTACTGGTACAACTCATTGTATAAATAAATTTATGACCATCATCCAAAGCATCACATTCCCCAAAATATAGAGGTGAACACCTATCCTAGAAGGGAGGTCAATGATACAATGGGGGGGGTTAATCAGTAATGCTAGTGGATAGGTAGATAGTACAAAAATAAGTGAGACCTGACCTTACCTTAAATAATGAAAGTTGTACAGTAATTGGATTTTCCCTCCAGAAAAGCCACAGATGTATTCAAGGGTAGCATGAACCAGAACATAGCCATGTAGCTTCTATACTGCTAAAACGTTGCATTTCTTCCATGTACGAGGGCAACAACTCTTCAACAATATTGCAGTTTTATCTAAGTACCTATTGCATGGCAGAAGCTTCCAGTCTTGCTACCAGCACAAGTGAAAAGCATCTCCAAGCACAAGCATTTCTCTGGTGTATTGACTTCATTCAGATCCAGAAAGTTAAGTGCAAGTTCCTATTTTTTTAAAAAAAATTACAGACATCCACTGTTGGGGGAAGTGCAGTATGCGCCAAACAGCAAAGGATCCTAAATACTGTGCTGATTAGATTACATGCCAAATTCATGAAAGGCTATTAATCTCAGTACCTCCCACCCACACTGATTTTTGCATGGCATCATAGACTGGTCCTGGGATTTATCCCATTCCACCCCACTTCTGAGGTGGACTTACCTGGCCAGTGCTTTTGGGAAGAGTAGAGGCAGCTCAGAAGACGTGCTGCTTCTAGGTACCCATTGGCAAGTAAGTTAAGAGTGCAGTGCAGACACACTCTCTACACGTCAGTCCTGGCATGCTTTCTTCTTGCATCATCAAGGTAATATAACATAAGTAGCCTGGGGGGGGGTGTCACACCAGAACCCTTGAAAGGCACAAAAGGTAGCCAAGGACTGGATTGTTCTGTTGTTTTAGTGTTTACATGCAAGTGGGAAATGTCAGGTTTCAGCTTTGAAATCAACGCTGGCTCTTTTTCGTTTGAAGTTTGTAACTCATTTAGCTGATATGGTCTAATTTCACAAGCCAGAGAGGGAGCTGAGTCAAGGGATGGGGCTTCAGAACCCCCTCAAAGCTCCTTGACCTGACCCACAACTAGCAGAAGCGAAATGTCATTCATCCAAAGCAAGCAAAAATACGCAAGTTTGCCCATTTTTTGCTGGTCTCAATTCAGCTTTCGCCGATGGGAGTATGTTTTGTCACAGCTGTTCTATTGAAGCCTACAGAGCTGTCATATGACAACTACCCCCAGCTGGGAGGGGCAGAGACTTCTTGCACAGCCCTCTAAGGAAAGAAACTTGCAACTGTCAAGCCACATGGGTTTCATGCATTCTGAAGTACAGCTATGCTCCCAACTTCCTCTCCTGCATTTGAACTTGAATCCCGCCATAGAAGCAACTTGTTCATTATAGTTCTGCCTCTTCGTGATTCAGGCTTTAATCCAAATTCTACTTACCTGGGAGTAAGCCCTATTTAATTCAGTACGAGAGACTTCTGAGTAGACATGGTTATGAGTGCAGCATTAGTCACATCGGAGGAGCAGCACTCTGGTGAACAGGTCATGAAGTTACTACTCAAGTGTTTCTTGCTCATATATTTAAGTGAAATTGTATACACATATACTAACCAATGTGGAAGTTATACCAGGCGGGGCTGCCAGTGCAACTCTCCTTGCTACTGGGGCTTTGCAAATACTTGCATATATTTAAAAGGTTAAGACTGCAAATACTTCCCTGTACAAATAAGAGCCTACGCAAGTCATCAGGTAGGGAATCTGTTTTCTTCTTCTTCTTCTTCTTCTTCTTCTTCTTCTTCTTCTTCTTCTTCTTCTTCTTCCCTTTTCAGACCACCACAAATGAACAAGAAAGGCAGGGAGGCTCTGAAACACTTTTGAGTGCCTTAGTACTGCTGTTACCCTCTTTCAAATTACCATATTTTTTGCTCTATAAGACTCACTTTTTCCCTCCTAAAAAGTAAGGGGAAATGTGTGTGCATCTTATGAAGCGAATGCAGGCTGCGCAGCTATCCCAGAAGCCAGAACAGCAAGAGAGATTGCTGCTTTCACTGTGCAGCGATCCCTCTTGTTGTTCTGGCTTCTGAGATTCAGAATATATTTTTTCTTGTTTTCCTCCTCCAAAAACTAGGTGCGTCTTGTGGTCTGGTGCGTCTTATAGAGCGAAAAATACGGTAATTAATACTTGTATTGATTACATGCCAGAGCAGTCCTTTGGAAAAGCGGAAGGGTTTCCCCTATTCGTTTATAGACTGCCATTCCTCCTAAGGGAGCCCAGGGCTCCATGATCCGATTTTGAAACATGCTGTTCAAAAAAGTGATTCGCACCACTTTGAGAAGCATGGTCTGACAGATTTTGATCTAGCTGCAGAGTTTTGAATGTAACAGGCAATATGAGTAGCTAGCTGCCTGCCCACACCCATCCAAATATATAAAAAGCTATCTTTGAAGACCAGAGCTTTTAAACACAGATGAATATGCCTAAATATGTTATGTAGGTTATAACCTTTGTGGACCAGATTTTTTTTTGGTTTTGTGAGGAGGCGTTAAAACTTGTCATGTTACTAGATATGTTTGGGGGGGGGGAATAAGACTACTTTTGTCATGTGAGGAAGAAAGATGAAAGGCTCACTTCCACTCAAAAAGTTAAAAAGGTGAGGTTTTCACTATCAGGAGAATAATACCCAGCCCTCATAGATCCTGGTATCAAGCAGACAGCATTTTCTTCAATGAATATTAATAACAAAAACAATAATCTATTATACCCCACCCACCTGGCTGGGTTTCCCCAGCCACTCTGGGCGGCTTCCAACAGGAGATTAAAAATACATTAAAACATCAAACATTAAAAAACCTCCCTAAACTGGGCTGCCTTCAGGTGTCTTCTAAACGTCATAGTTGTTTGTTCCTTTGACATCTGATGGGAGGGCGTTCCACAGGGTGAGAGCCACTACCAGTGAAGAATTGAATTGAAATCTAGTGTCTTTATACTGTTCAAAATCAGTTTAATACTAACTAAGCAGCAGTTAGACTTTGTAGTCTGTCAAATCTCTCCTCTGACAGAAGACATGCCTTTTTCTGGAAAATAAACTGTATAGTTTGACACATTATTCTATTGTATCAACCTATTTCACTGTATTGCTCTTAAACTGAATTTTAAATCAACATTTAAAATTATGCTAGCCTTAAAATATGCTACATTGCATTTCTAATATATAAAAATGGATGGTCCTACTGTTAAGTGGCTAACCTTGATTAGAAAATTAGGCTAATTTTAAGAATTGATGTAGTGTTTAGAATATAGTGGGGAATTATTATGCCTTATAACAAAGGGCAAGCTTGGTTAAATAGGTAGTGAATCCAACCTGAGTGTTTCCAAAATGAATATGCCCTGCATGTCCACGCCAATATTACATTCAAAAAAGATTACATCACAGTTGATTTAATTTGAACAGAACATAAACAAAACTGCATATTCAAGATAGTTTAATATGTATTTTCTGAATTAGAAATATCACTTTCCTAAATGAAAATTACTAGTGTAATGACTCATTTCTCCCCTGATCACTGAATTACATTATTTACACATATAATACAGATTGATTGTAGCTCAAAACATTATTAAAATAAAATGTTTAATAGATACAAAGGATCTCTTTCCCCATAACATAGCTTTAGAGGGTGTCCAAACACCCATTTAAAAGTAATTTTCTACTAGCATTAAGCTATTTAAGTGCAAACAATCTTTTTTGGGGGGAGTGGGGAACCTCTATGATTGCAGCATCCATCTTCCTGAATTACATTTATGAAGCCAGAAAGTAATGACTTTCATTTCCCATGAGAGCAATCTAGACTAACCATTGCTGGATAAAAAAATCAGTGCAAAAAAAACCCCAACAATGAAGTTCTAATTTATATAACCATTAAACTTATTCAGATTTAACAAACATTTTGTTTTACAGAGAAACTGGAAAAGTTATACTATTTTTAACCGCAACACCAAAAGAAGTATTTTTTAGCAAAATCCTTCTTTCGGCCATCAGCCTAAATATTAGCTGTAAAAAGAATTCATTACATTATTATTTTTGTAAAACACTATGTGATTCACATAACTCCAAGTTTACACTCTGCCTTTAAGAATTTGTGGTGCTCCCTGGCTGAACAGCAGCTCCTGGTTCCATTGCCATTACTTCTTGTTCTGTGTTCAAAGATTTGCTAGCAGAAATGTGATGGCTATACTACAGTTCCACTTGGAGAATTGGCCTGGTTTTGGGATGGCAATAAACCCTGCAAACAAAGCAATTTGCATTAATCCAGCAAGAGAACCCAGCATTTAGTTTTCTAAACAGTTCTATATATATCTGTAGACTTTCAGTGCACAGTGGCATTTGCATATTATGACTTCAAAGTGATAGATCACATTGTTCGAACGTCTTAACATGAACGACTTCGCTCTTTATGTAGCAGTTTAGTTCAAAGTAACTTCTAAGATGTAGATCATAATTAGAATTCCAGGGGTGTAGCAGCTGTAATATGTTCCAGCAAACAAGGAATATGGTTGCTGCTTTAAAATGAACATGAAGTATCCTGATAAAACTTGACAGAGTGGGTTTTAGTCCACAGACGCTTATACCATAGTATGTATTCATTTTTAATATGCCCCAGGAATCTTGATTATGACCGTAGTATGATTAGATTTTAGCTCATGTCTTACAAAACTTAAGCTATCCTATTCAAAACATAAAGTCAGTGAGCTGCAGGGCACATTTGTGCCACAAGTCTTTTACCAGGAGGTTACGATCAACATGTATCTCTCACTGCTGTATGCACCTTGCAACCATAAGACACAAGTATTCATGAGGGGCTCTTCAGCCAGATGTTTCAGAGTGCA